TTTAATTTACAATTTGAAAAGAGGAAACTACAGTAGAACTACCCTAAATTACATAATTATCCAAATCTGTTTTTCTTATAATTTACATTTTGATATCAAGAAAGGAATATAAGGAAAAATTGAGAAGCATACCTGTTCTGATTTTTCATCGGAACTGCTAGGAGCTTCAGATGTGTCTTTCACAAAATAATTATCCACAAGGTCTATCTGTCTGCACTCTTGGCGGCATACTGGGCACCGTATTACACCAACTACAACACAAAATGATAACATTAAAAAATTTTCTTCAGGAAGAAAACAAGGAAATTGTGCATGATGCCTATGTGGAAACATTCATTTGTCACTGATAAGAACAAAGAAATCAGTATGAAGAGCTGAATAAAATAACCCATTGACCTATTTCACTAGGGAAAAAATTGTACCTTATTTAGGAAAAGAAAAGTTTTAATATGCCTGCCCCCCAAAAAGTGCTTCTTTATTACAACCTGGTTGGCTGAATAATGACCCCAAAAGAAACCCAGGTTCTAATCTTTGGAAACTATGAATGATAGTTAACATGGCAAAAGGGACTTTGCAGATGTGACGAAATTAAGGCTCTTGATGGAAGGTACTTCTGGATTATCCAGAAGGCCCTAAATATAATCAAATGGCTTTATAAGAGGGGGACAGAGAAAGATAAGACAACAGAAAAGGGGAAGGCAATGAATTAAAGAAGCAGAGATTGTAGTGATGCAGTCTGAAGACAAAGGAAGGTGCTACAAGCCAAGAAAGATAGCAAATAACTAGAAAATGAAAGAAACAAGGAAACAGAATCTCTCCCAGTGCCTCCAGAAGGAATCAGTCCTGCCTACACTTTGACTTTAGTCCAGTAAAACTTGATGTCAAATTTCTAGCTTCAAGAACAGTAAGAGAACAGGATGTATGCTGTTTTAAGCCACCAAGTTTGTGGCAATTTTGTTACAGCAGCAAATGAAAACTAACACAGAATCTATTATCTTATAAATTTTGACTTGGTGCAGAGATACTTGAATTTATGCTAATGTGGGAAGAAAGATTATCTGTGCCTTCACCTGCTAGTGTTCTAGCATCTAACAGAATGGATAAATTGTTGAGGTGACATGGAAACTAATCTTAAGAATTAAAAAATAGCACCAGA